AAAAAAAAAAAAAAAAAAAAAAAAAAAAAAGGTCGACTGCACCGAATTGCGTATGCAATGAAGCCAAATCTGGCAATGTTGCTCGGAACCGACTGAATCGCCACTTGTAATCGTCCAATGCGCCAAGTTTTGGCCACCCCTGGTCTATGTAGTGGTTGTGGAAAGGGCATCACTTATGATATACACCAAAAATCATTCAAGAGATGTACAATATAGCATTTAAGCTATGATCACAATTTGTAACAATAATAAACTGCACTTTTTGGTATATTGTTCTCATTTTCTCCTCTATACTACATATGTACAGAGAAGAAACCAAGAAAAATATGTCAGAAAATGCAGTTTAATACATATAATTAAATTGAATTATTTTTACACCATAGCCTCACCAATACTGTCAATTAGCACTATTGCATGAATGTACTGTTTACAGTTAAGAAAGTAAAGAGAAAAGGTTTACAGCATAAGTAGGCCTGAAAAACAGTATGAATAATTACCTAATATTTTGTATGTCCACCTCAAGCTTTAATAACAATTTTGCAGCACTTTGATGTAGAATGGACGAGTCTCTTCAAGTATTTTATATCAAGCTTATAATATCAAACTTTCCTAATACAGTTTTACAGTTGTTTAATTTTAGGTCTCTTCTCTGCTGTTTTCATGCCCTTAGTACATCAGTAGTTCTCAATAGGTTGAGATTACAATTGTTATCTGATCTGTTTTCTTGTAGGAATATTTTGCCTAAACAATAATGTGTGTCATTTTAAGTGACAATAATGCTAACAAAAACTATAGAAAACATCCAGCAATGAGTTGCTTAACTTTCCTTGCAACATTTAAAACTGCATGTGTGGTGCCATCTGTTACAGTATTTTATTTTAGAAACTTTATATTTTTAATTATTATTAAATGGCAAAAAGCTTCATTTTGAAGGTAGAGATGGGTTTTATAAAAAAAATTGTAAAGGCTTATAACGAGTAAAATTGTCATTAAGTCTGACCCTATTCAAGATACAAAATGTGGCCCCCTTTATCTCTCAATTTGGCAGATAAGATGTTTGTGTAGCATTTACATGCCTATTTATATGGTGTATATGTAATAAACCATTTATAAAGTTTATATTTGTATATAATTTAATGTATGTTTGTTTTCTTATATTAAAGATAGAAGCATCATTTACATTATTAAAGTAAAATGTTATAGTATTATGCTGGAAAGTTTGCAATTTGTTTTTTACTTATAATACTTAGAGTGCAATAGCAATTTTAGTTGACAAAATGGAATGCATTTATTTGAATTTGTACATTTGCACCGGCCACTTTTTAATCGAGCCAACTAAAAACTTACGGCATGCTCTATTTTTCAGTCAACAAAACTTGCTTTTCAAAATAGAAAAAAAGGGAATTCAATTGGTCACAAAGCATGAAAGATTGTTCAGTTGCCCCTAGTGCCAGTGTCCTAATTTTTGTGTTTATAGAGTCAAAATTTAAAAATTACTGGTAGCATTTTGAAAATTATTATTTTACCGGTAATAAAAAAATTTGGTAAATTTGCAATTCATAGTATTCAGTCTGAAATTTTTATTTTTTTAAAACACAAGTTTCTTATTTAATTTTATATGCTATTTCTAACTATAAATAATTATTTAATAATGTAAGACTTTTGTTTTCATCTTATTTAATAAATCTTGTTTTTGCTTCAGTAAAATTGATTGATTACATTTATTAATTAATAATAATGCTTGTTTAGAATAGTTTGATTCAACTAACTAAACTTAATACTTTAAACTAAAATTTAAATTATTTGACATAAATTATGTAATTAAAAAATTCTATCAACGTTTTAATCTATTACTTGATGTGTATGATTTTTAATTTTTAAATTTATTGTGGAAAATTAAAATTTGATGTTTCTATAAATGTGAAACATTTATCTTTACTTATGTTAACTATTTGATGATGTGAGGGTTAAATGATTAATTTAAAGAATAATTCATAATTTTAAAAAGTAGAAAATATTGAAATAAATTGTTTCAGATGGTCTTTTCATCACTCTGGGAATTAGTTGTGCAGTTTACTAGAGATTTTGAGAATTTAAAGACTGAATTAATGAAAGTGGATTGTTATGACAAAACAGATATAGTAAGAGCATTAATTGGAGTTAGAGACATAATTTTAGAGGAATGGGGTGCGACTATGCCTTGTCAGGTAAATTATCAACTTTATATTTTAAATTCTTTTACCTAATTTATCAATAAGCTGGAACAATTGACACTAACACAATATGTACTTAAAGAATTCTACTGGTGTAAGTGGGTATGGTGTTTGTTTTTGTTAGTGTCAAATTATTTTACAATAGATGAATCATTAATTGTGTTGATTTAACTTTAAGTATAATATTTATAATAGAATAATTAATTTTTGTATTCTTTTCTATACAGGTAATATTAATAACAGATGGCAATGTAGGGATTGGTACCACTTCGCTTAAATATGCATTGGAAAAGTATTACAGCAAAGACATCGAAAGCCAGGATAAACTGTTGCCTTTACCATTTCCATTTCCGTGTAAACTGCACGTTGTGTGTATCTCTGATGTCGTTCACCAACATACCATATCATTTTATCAGAAACTTATTGATATTGGCGGAGGAGGAGGACAAGTATTTGTTCCAGAGGGTCAGCTTAGTTTTAAATCTGTTCAGCAAGTATTTCACAAACTAACAGAAATGTATTATAAACCGTTCCAAGGAAACCTTTATTGTGGAAATCTCAAATCGCTCGTATCCTTGTCGCCCGCTCCGGAAAGCTACAGTAAGGCGCGGGATTTCGAATGGATAAAAACGGAAGTTTTCACCGATATCGTCATATGCGGTTTCTTGGATATCGCCGACGTTGCTAGTCCACCAGTTCTTTCTAGACATTTGGTATTACCAATACCACCTGCTAAAGGTAAGAAAGTTTATTTCTTATAAATACAAAATAAAAAGTAATGATGCAATTACAATACAGTTTTGGTAATTTGACACATATGGAATTATTAGGGTGTCAGATTAAGGAGACTGCTGAATTATTGAAAGTAAAATGAATTCAGTGGTTTAACAATTGGAAAAAACATTTATTTGCATGATTTTATTTGCAAAGACATATATAGTGAAGCAAGAAAATATGAGAGGAGAGCAATATTACATATTACTGTATTTTTAGTTCTGAAATTAATCTTCAGTTTTTTAAAATAATTTTCAGTTGTTCTTTTTGCTGTTTTGTCATCAGAGTATGTTGCTATTGCCTATGATCAGTGTTGCCAAGTTGGTGGATATCACACTAAATTTAGTGGGAAATTGAAATGACTTTGGGAGATTTAGTGGGAGGGCAGTAGTTTTGATAAGCAATTTTGGGAAAATGATTTTTATATTTAATCTGAGTGTTAAGCAAAGACTCCTTAATTTCAGAAACCCTGTGGTTGCCTGATGCAATAACTAAGAATTATGTAACCAAAATTTGTGAAATTTTTTGAATAACTAATTTGTATATACGGGATGAGCTGTATAGTTTTTGTAGAAATTGATTGAGTAGTTAAATAAAGTATAATAAGAACTTTGTTTTTATGCATACACGTTATTTAAGAAAAAAGCATGCATAAATAGTCCTTCTGTTTTCTTTACATGTGCTTTTATTTCCTCATTTACATTCTCCAAAATTTCTTATTAGTAAATTTTTTCACATTTTCATTTTTATTGTTTTATTCTGAATTTCATTTTCTGGATTTTGGTTTCAACGTGTTTGTTTATTTTCATACTCTATTGTAAAAGTTCATATCATGGAATCATCCTGGTTTAATGATAAATTGTTTAATACTAAGTTATTTCATTTAATTATTCTGGTTTTGCTTTTTTTTTTTTAAATAAAGGTGCCTAGAATGAAAAATAATTTTGCTAAGAGCTTATGAAACAAAAATAAACCAAAAAAGTAGTGAAGTAGTAGTGGGACTGATTTTGCAACAGAATTTGAAAAGCATATACTAGAAAAACCACTAATTAAGGCCATAATGAAATTGGCAAACAAAACCCTAGTGAACAATAGCATTCAAGTACTTTCTCCAACAGGTGCTACAGCCATCAACATGAATGGGAAAACAATTCAGTTTTTTAAGAATTCTAATTCCTCCTTTTAAAGAATGAGTTGGAGAGCCACATCAGAACGTTCAGGTTGCATTAAGTAATATTCAGTACCTAATTTTTGATGAATATTCTGTGATCAGGTCAAGACTAATGTCAAAAATCCACAACAGATGCTTTGAAGCAAAGGGGTACAATCATGTGCTGTTTGGAGGCATGTTTGTTTATTTCCTTGGAGATATCCAGCAGTTGCCTCCTGTGAAGGATATAATTCTCCTTGTAAACTTTAATGATGAATTTTCTTCCCAATGACACACTCCAAGAAGACACAAAAAAATCTTTTACTTAACTACCAGTATATCTTTGAGACAACAACTGTTCAAGAAATATATTAGTGTTACAATTGGAAAACAGAAGCAGCAAGAATGGGAAGCATTAATGACAAGAAGGAAGACAATTTTTATCTCCATTAGATATAGAAAACTTTAGAGATTCCATAAGATTATTTCCTTCGAATGAAATGGTTATTTCATATAACAAATCATTCCTTACACAACCTTCCAAAATGACCAGTTGCAAAAATTTCTGCAGAACTTAATAGCATTTTTGCAAAAAAGTATGAGAGGAACAAGGCTTGCAATCAGTATTATATCTATCTATTTGTTGTCACATAATGCTGAGAAAAAATCTATGGGTTGATGCACTAGCATAGCGAGGGAGGGGCAAAGGGTCTATCATGCCTCATGAGCCACTTGCAGAGGGGCTCCAAATGATCTCCAAGACAAACAAGATTTGTTTCTGGAGGAGGTGGTCATCAATAAAGTGTCATGCCCCGGGCACCAGTTATGTTTGCTATGCCACTGGGTTGATGTTGACCTAGTGAACAGATCTCTTGGAACAGTTGTTGACATTCTGTACAGAGATGGAAGGAGATTGCCTTCATTACCATTGGCAGTAATGGTAAAATTCAATAAGTATATAGGATCAACCGTAAGAAATGGAGCATTTCCTATTCAACCAAAATAGAAGGATAATGATGTGGATTGCACAAGAAGGCAATTTCCAATCTTGGTTGCATGCTCATTGGCCATACACAAAGCTGAAGGGCTAACACTGAAAAAAATAGTAATTGACATAGGAGAAAAAGAAAACATTACTGGACTATCATATGTAGCTCTAAGCAGAGTGAGAAAACTAGAAGATATGATGGTAGCGCCATCTAACATTAATAGAATAAATAAAATTGAAACTATGAGACAAGTTTTTTGACATTTTTTGACTAGTGTAATGCATAACCAATAAGTAAACAATTTTTTAAATTCATTTATTTAAATTCAAAATTTTGTTATACTTTAATACATACACTCAGACTTTAAATGCCTCGCATTCATCTAGTTTTATATTATTGAGTTAGAAGATACTATATCTTTTTTGATTAGCCTAAGATGACAAGTCAAGCAATTTTTAATTTCATATCTAAGCTTGGGTTTGATATCAAATCATGTTTAGTGAGGTGTTCAAATTTACTGGGAACTGGAGTCTGAACTAATGAGAAGCTTGTCTATCACTCGGCAACAATACTTGTAATACCCAATGAGTTGGCTGGTGTTAGATTACTGGGTGTGTTGAAATAGTGAATGGCTGTATTACCAAGATTCTACTGTGTTTAATGGTGTATATGCCTGAAAGATTGTTTCTGCCAAGAATGTCCTCGTGGTTCCTAAGTAATGCATATACATTTGGACTTATTTTACTTTAATTAATTAATTAACTTAATTAATAGACCATAGAGTAGACAAGAAGCTATAGTACATTGTACCACAACAGGACTGCTATTACAATGCCTCCAAGAGCACTTAACTTTGATTAAAAAAGGATAAATCACCACCATTCTTTCCACCCTTACATTAGAAATGGATGTCCATCCCCATTCAGACTAGGTGAAGCTTTTAAATCCATTGACAGAAAAATCACATATTTGGCATCTGGAAAAAATTGAAATATAATCAAGCTACAAAGAAGAGCTCTGTGATCAACTATTCTCTGGCACAGGCCCGGAAAGCCTTATTTGAGAACCAGAATACCACCCACAAGGCCAGACATGCAACACTGTTGACCAACCAAAATCCGTAACGTATAAATGATTCTAGCACGTGTGGCATTCTTAGTTTTGAAAGAAAGTGTTCCTTCTTTAACCTATTCGGTGACGCCATGTTGAATTTTCATCGATGTTAAGCCTAAAAAAAATTTTTTTTAAATAATAATCGTGTTTACTGTATTGTAAAAAATTATTTTATTTTTCAGAAACAAAATAAATATATCAAATAATATAGAAACAAAAAAAAATTATATTTTAAAAGTTCGTTTTAATATAAAAATTGTGACGCATAGCGACATCTGGTATCAAAAACGTTCCAATGTAAACACGAAAATATTTGGGATCGCCCACACAGGTCAATGAGGTCAACATGAATATTTTTGGGAACAACATAGGACAGATTAAGACTGTTATTCAAGAGATAGCCATAACCTGACAATAGTAGCTTAAATCCACTGAAAACGTTTGTTTATTATTATGAACTATATATTATATGCTGGAGTTTGGTATGTAATATAAGTTTACTTATTATCCACTAAGGAAATGTTTGAATTATTGAAAATAACTTACAGAAATGATGTCTTAGCCATTTTAATGGTTTTTGTTATTTTAAAGAGAGAAGAGAATGTGTTAAAAGTAATTCATATTCTGGAAAACCATTGTTGTTGCAGAATGAGAAAACAATTGACAAGATCAAATAATTTCATGATCAAATCAAATAATGATCAAACATCATAATTTCAAAATAATTTCATGTATGAAATGATCATTGACTGACAGAGAGAAACCATTGAAGAGGTCACAATTTTGGTGGGTTCTTTTAACCACAGTTTAACAAAGATTTGAACATTGATCCAATCTATGAAAAGTCTGTGCCATGCTTGCTAACAGAAGAATACCATTTATTTGAGTGTGTGTGTGTGTGTGATAATGTATAGTTAGTAAAATAACTCATCAAAGTTAATGAATCAGATGTATGGATAAGATCAGAGAAATAAATAGCAATCCTCAGAATAGAGGATTGCTATTCCTCACTGCAACTAAAGAAAGTTTGCCAGGTGCACAAAACAAAGGTTTGTTCAGATGTGCATTTTGCATACCTTCTTTGACTGGTATCTTTTGTTTCACCTGGCATACTTTCTTTGCAAACCATAAGTGCATCAAAGAAACTTTTGTTTGAAGCACTTCTAGTTTTCTTTGACTGCAAGAGTGTTATCCACAATTAATGGATCATAGAATAAACATGAACATTGTGTCCACCACAAGACTATTATATTGATGCCTTTGAGAGCACCAACCTCTGAAGTTCATTACGTTCAAAAAATTAATTTTTTTGAATGTAAATGAATCACTATATATAAACATAGAACACAGATATGGGCAAATATTCAGGCTTTTATTTGACATAATCACCTTGTTTGTCAGGGCAAGGAGTTTTGGGCATGAAAAGTATTCTCTGTAATAATGAAATAGTTCTCCTCCACAACAATGTCCAACTGCATATAATATGGTAAACTTGAAAAGTGTCACAAGAGTACTCGGTAGAATTCTCACAGTATTTTGTAAGTTGGAGAATAGGCCATACATTCCAGAGTTGGAACCTGGCAATTACTGTGTTTCCATTTTGAAGAAACAGTAAACTCCCAACAACAGTTCCAATGAAGGAGCAGTTGTCAGGAAATTGTTTTACTTACGGTAAAGACATCAAATAAGCTAGAGTAACATCACAAACATAACAGGGATGTAGCTTTTGCACATTACTTATAGACAAGCTTATTGCATATAGGAAGTGTTTCAATCATCAGAGATCCTATGTTCAAAATTAGTATTTGTGTGATGTTTGTGTAATGTCTGTTAATTTACTGAGATCTTGTTTTTGATTTATGAACACTATAAACATACTTTCTAGTTAACCTTTATTTATATATTTGAATAATTTAAAAATTTTATTATTTATTTATTAAAGCCAAACAAAATACTGAATTATTAGGCTATAATATGGCTATTTAGTATTTACACCATATTATAACCTTATAGTTCGGCAGTTTGTTTGGATTTAACTATAAATTTGGTTTTTGAGTTGATGTTCGTATATATTTATTTATTTTTAGAAGAAACGAAGTTAACTGTTAAACCAGAAATCGAATCGGGACTAGAAGATGAATCAATGTCTAATGATGAAGGAAAACAACCTTCTTTCTGTGTTTTGCTTCATGGAAGTTTAAAAGTTGAAAGTATGGTAGCATTATGCCAATTAAGGTAATTTATATCTGATGTAATCAAAATATATAGCATACTAAGTATTAGTATGCTATACAATAAATGCTAATGTTTCTGTTCACTGGTAAATGGCTTGTCTTTGGGCATAAATAGATGTAAAGTTTCTTTTATGTAGTTATTCTTTCAATCACCATAACAGCATATTTCTATTAATAGGACTTATCATACTGGTGTATAAGATTACAGCAACACAGTCACACAGATTAAAATTGTTTTATTTACAATTACCTGATAAGTCCTATTAATAGAAATACACTGTTATGGTGATTGAAAGAATAACTTGTTTAAATTAAGGACATTGATGCACATTAATTAACGAAGTTCCTTTTATGTATTTTCAAGCTCTGAGATGTGTCATTAAACAGGTCAGAAACATTTCTAAAACTATTTTGTGATTATTCTATCACATGATTTATTGGCAAGAAGAAAGAAATTATATCTTTCATGTTTGAAATCAAATTTAATTTTATGGCTTTAATATAATATTTAAGAATGCTTTATATTTGAGTTTACTTTTTTTTTTCTGATAAAATTCCAAAGAACATTAAAAGACTATAAAGAACAACAAACATAATAATTGAAAATTTACAAATGTTTTATGTAAATATTTATTAAAGTAAATAAAATAAAATAGTATAAAAATATAATAAAATGAACCAAAACTATTAAAACAACAAACAGTAAATAATGATTGCATGGATGAAAATGAGGTAATTAGTTTCAATGACATTACAATATAAACAAATTAAGAGTCATGATTAACATTAATTGCCATTAATGTATTAAAAGTTTTAAGTTATTCTTTAGATAGGAGATACTTTGTTTTATTCTTTCTTAATTGCTAACTATGATCATTTTGTATTTATAAAGCTGGCTCCACACATTTAATATTTGCTGAATGCTGAGCAAACATTTGGCTAATACTAAGCAGTGTGGATGATTTACTTGTGACTAATATTCAGTAGTCACTTTTTCCCTCTCCTTGTTGGTATATTGTACTAAATCAAAGGGAATAGATAGACAGTTATTCGGTAGTTGGCAAATACTTTAATGTGTGGAGCTGGCTTAAATCGTGCCCACAGATCACTATTGAACTTTCTTTTCTTCCGTCCCTAGATGCTGCAATTATAAGCTTTATTGTGATTTTAATGGGCTTCTCATTTGCTAAGGTTATTTTCTGTCATTGACCCATGCTTCTGGATTTAAAATGACTTGTTCCTCTAAGACAGAGTTGTGTCTAAAGTTTTTGATGTCCATTTTATGTTCTTTTACTCTTTCATTCAAAAATCTATTCTCATATTCTCATGATATTCTCATATCAAAAATCATATGTATCTACTGTTTAGCTGTTATTGGTATTCTATAGACTCTGCTTTTCTTGGGATTGGCCTCCAGCACTGATATCTGCTGATGTATTGTACTCCCAACAAGTTCTTATTCCCTGTTTAAAAGCCACTTTTCCTAACAAAATTTAAGATGCTTTTTACAGATTCTTTGTTTATAGTTTCAAGATCAGTGCTTAAACTCAAGATGAGTATCTTATGTGAAGCAATGCTGGGTTTCAAAAAGAATATAGTGAGCAATTTCATTCATCATACTACATTTCAGGCAAAGTGGTTCTTCTTAGATATCCATTCTGTACGTTTGCATAGATGATAGTGCCAGTCAGAAAATAAACCACCACTCTTATCTGATTTCTATCTAACTTTAATAAGTTAGTTTTTGATTTTATTGAAGGTTTTTTAATGATCAATCTTCAACACGTATGTCCTGTGGTCTTATTCCATTTCTTAGTAATTTTCTTAGATTTTCATTATTTTAATACTCTTAATTGTACTTCTTGTGATCTCAGAAAGTTTCTACACTGGCACTTTTCTGATGAATCTGCTAGGGATTTTTTCATTTTGAAGAAGAGCATTGAATGACAAGCTTGATGTTTGGTTTAGGGATTAGTAACATGATCAGTTTTATATTTTTCAAATGTGCAAGCTGTGCATTGCACATTTGAAAAGCAAGTTCAAAATGACTAAGCAAATTCCATATTCTTATTCTTTTCTTGTATTTTTAATTTGAGTGATATGGAGTTGAGTCTATCTGACAAAATGTTATGTTCGGTTTTTTATTTAGTTATGAAGACAATGTTGTTTTAAATTTGTAAAAAGTGATATAATAAAATTTGCATGGTGTTTAATTTNTTCGTGTAATTCAATGTTTACCATCGACACGTTTTTCGTACCTTTCGGACGACTGTCGTTTATTAAGCGAATCGTTCGGTTGCTACCGAGAATTTGTAATGCTAAATGGCAATATTACCAAATATTTATCGAGTTCCGGGACGGAGCTCGAAGATGTCGAACGCTGCACCGAAACCCCCTAAGAACCGACCGTCCTATACAATTTCTTATTAAGTGGACGAAAACGTTCGGACAATATCTGTTTTTAATAAACCTTTTCCGTTCTTTAAATGTTTCTAGAAAAAAATTCCATGTCTGGGGACACCGTCGGGGGTTTTGCACCTTCCTTACGTGGATGGAGAAGCCGGGGTTACCGTCGGTCTCTCCGAAGGACTTTCTGACACCCTTTTCGGCATTTTTCCGTTAACGAGACTCCGGTAGGTACGTATGTCGACGGGTGAGATTCGAGCTCCGGTCGGCATCCCCGGAATTGTCGACCTCCCGTATACTGGCAAAAAACTTAGAGGAACCTTACGTGTATGTGCGACTCACTGCTGACTATTAGTTTCCGAAGGTTTGTTTTTGACGCGTGTCGGTGTGCCGTTCGTTCTCCGTGCTCCGTCTCGTTGTACACTTTGGCGCTCGTCCTCTCCGGAACCTCGGCGACGCCTTCTCTAAAATGTTGCCGGGGACTTTCCGGGCGGTTCGTATTTAAATAATGTAGACGACGCGTTAAGCTCGTAGTTTGGTCGGTAAAACTTTTTAAATGTTTCAGGTAAAAGAAAATGCCGACCGTGTTTCTTTTGGACGTCTCTCTCTCCATGACCAGGCCGATTACCGTGCCGGACAGCACCGAGCCCTATCAGCTGCGTCACTTGGCCATCCACGGATTGAACTTCATGATAGATTACATGAGTACGAACACGAAATTGGAATTTTCGGCTTTGGTATTTACATTTTTAAAAAAATGTTGTATAATTTATTATTATTATATTTTAAATATGATGTAAAGTTAACATTAGCTGTAATATTTAGTCATTATTTATATTTTGCATATGTTTATAATACACAGAAACTTTTTGCCAGTGCGTCAAGTATTTTTTTTACGTCAAACTTGAAAAAGTGGCTAAACCTGGCAACACGACCCTGTCACTAAATGAGCTCGACTCGAGTGATGGCTACTGTTATGGTACAATCTGCGCCATCAGTGAGTCGTAGATGTGCAGTGATAAGGGAAAGTAGCTTTGGTATCGGACAAAACTCCTACCGACCACCACGAAAGCTCAAATCGCCCATTAGTGGGCAGTAGNTTTGAAGAAACAGTAAACTCCCAACAACAGTTCCAATGAAGGAGCAGTTGTCAGGAAATTGTTTTACTTACGGTAAAGACATCAAATAAGCTAGAGTAACATCACAAACATAACAGGGATGTAGCTTTTGCACATTACTTATAGACAAGCTTATTGCATATAGGAAGTGTTTCAATCATCAGAGATCCTATGTTCAAAATTAGTATTTGTGTGATGTTTGTGTAATGTCTGTTAATTTACTGAGATCTTGTTTTTGATTTATGAACACTATAAACATACTTTCTAGTTAACCTTTATTTATATATTTGAATAATTTAAAAATTTTATTATTTATTTATTAAAGCCAAACAAAATACTGAATTATTAGGCTATAATATGGCTATTTAGTATTTACACCATATTATAACCTTATAGTTCGGCAGTTTGTTTGGATTTAACTATAAATTTGGTTTTTGAGTTGATGTTCGTATATATTTATTTATTTTTAGAAGAAACGAAGTTAACTGTTAAACCAGAAATCGAATCGGGACTAGAAGATGAATCAATGTCTAATGATGAAGGAAAACAACCTTCTTTCTGTGTTTTGCTTCATGGAAGTTTAAAAGTTGAAAGTATGGTAGCATTATGCCAATTAAGGTAATTTATATCTGATGTAATCAAAATATATAGCATACTAAGTATTAGTATGCTATACAATAAATGCTAATGTTTCTGTTCACTGGTAAATGGCTTGTCTTTGGGCATAAATAGATGTAAAGTTTCTTTTATGTAGTTATTCTTTCAATCACCATAACAGCATATTTCTATTAATAGGACTTATCATACTGGTGTATAAGATTACAGCAACACAGTCACACAGATTAAAATTGTTTTATTTACAATTACCTGATAAGTCCTATTAATAGAAATACACTGTTATGGTGATTGAAAGAATAACTTGTTTAAATTAAGGACATTGATGCACATTAATTAACGAAGTTCCTTTTATGTATTTTCAAGCTCTGAGATGTGTCATTAAACAGGTCAGAAACATTTCTAAAACTATTTTGTGATTATTCTATCACATGATTTATTGGCAAGAAGAAAGAAATTATATCTTTCATGTTTGAAATCAAATTTAATTTTATGGCTTTAATATAATATTTAAGAATGCTTTATATTTGAGTTTACTTTTTTTTTTCTGATAAAATTCCAAAGAACATTAAAAGACTATAAAGAACAACAAACATAATAATTGAAAATTTACAAATGTTTTATGTAAATATTTATTAAAGTAAATAAAATAAAATAGTATAAAAATATAATAAAATGAACCAAAACTATTAAAACAACAAACAGTAAATAATGATTGCATGGATGAAAATGAGGTAATTAGTTTCAATGACATTACAATATAAACAAATTAAGAGTCATGATTAACATTAATTGCCATTAATGTATTAAAAGTTTTAAGTTATTCTTTAGATAGGAGATACTTTGTTTTATTCTTTCTTAATTGCTAACTATGATCATTTTGTATTTATAAAGCTGGCTCCACACATTTAATATTTGCTGAATGCTGAGCAAACATTTGGCTAATACTAAGCAGTGTGGATGATTTACTTGTGACTAATATTCAGTAGTCACTTTTTCCCTCTCCTTGTTGGTATATTGTACTAAATCAAAGGGAATAGATAGACAGTTATTCGGTAGTTGGCAAATACTTTAATGTGTGGAGCTGGCTTAAATCGTGCCCACAGATCACTATTGAACTTTCTTTTCTTCCGTCCCTAGATGCTGCAATTATAAGCTTTATTGTGATTTTAATGGGCTTCTCATTTGCTAAGGTTATTTTCTGTCATTGACCCATGCTTCTGGATTTAAAATGACTTGTTCCTCTAAGACAGAGTTGTGTCTAAAGTTTTTGATGTCCATTTTATGTTCTTTTACTCTTTCATTCAAAAATCTATTCTCATATTCTCATGATATTCTCATATCAAAAATCATATGTATCTACTGTTTAGCTGTTATTGGTATTCTATAGACTCTGCTTTTCTTGGGATTGGCCTCCAGCACTGATATCTGCTGATGTATTGTACTCCCAACAAGTTCTTATTCCCTGTTTAAAAGCCACTTTTCCTAACAAAATTTAAGATGCTTTTTACAGATTCTTTGTTTATAGTTTCAAGATCAGTGCTTAAACTCAAGATGAGTATCTTATGTGAAGCAATGCTGGGTTTCAAAAAGAATATAGTGAGCAATTTCATTCATCATACTACATTTCAGGCAAAGTGGTTCTTCTTAGATATCCATTCTGTACGTTTGCATAGATGATAGTGCCAGTCAGAAAATAAACCACCACTCTTATCTGATTTCTATCTAACTTTAATAAGTTAGTTTTTGATTTTATTGAAGGTTTTTTAATGATCAATCTTCAACACGTATGTCCTGTGGTCTTATTCCATTTCTTAGTAATTTTCTTAGATTTTCATTATTTTAATACTCTTAATTGTACTTCTTGTGATCTCAGAAAGTTTCTACACTGGCACTTTTCTGATGAATCTGCTAGGGATTTTTTCATTTTGAAGAAGAGCATTGAATGACAAGCTTGATGTTTGGTTTAGGGATTAGTAACATGATCAGTTTTATATTTTTCAAATGTGCAAGCTGTGCATTGCACATTTGAAAAGCAAGTTCAAAATGACTAAGCAAATTCCATATTCTTATTCTTTTCTTGTATTTTTAATTTGAGTGATATGGAGTTGAGTCTATCTGACAAAATGTTATGTTCGGTTTTTTATTTAGTTATGAAGACAATGTTGTTTTAAATTTGTAAAAAGTGATATAATAAAATTTGCATGGTGTTTAATTTACATATTCATTTTATTTTTGTAAATATTTTAGAGAAATAAAATAATATTGAATGATTTCATACAAAATTTAATAAATAAGTACTTTTCTAAATGTCTACTTTTGATTAAAGTAAATTAAACACCGGTTTATGCACATACAACAAATATTTTGATGTAGTATGTGCATAAATGGTAAATCATGTTTAATTTAACTATTGCAAGAATGTTTAGGTGTTCAGATGAAAAAATAAATAATGATAGAGAGAATTTTTTATGTTTAGAAAATTTGTTTATATTAGTTTAATAAATATTTTATTTTAAAGGGCAGATTGGTATGGAATGTTATATTCTTGGGCAGACAGCAAGAAAAAGTCAAATTTAATGTTGTCGACATTCGAACCAGGTGAGACTTTTATCACATATTGTTTCTGCTTTAATATTTTCTAGAAGAAAAATTTTTTCATTTTAAAATTTATTTTAAAGTTTCAGATAATGGCTGCTTTTAGTTTATTTTAGATCAGTGTTTCTCAAACTGGGTTTCATGAAAGAATGTAAGAGTGAGGTTAAAATGCATAATAGCAGAGAAAAACAATTAACATTCAACATTAATCATTTAACTGTAGATAGTACCTGAACAAATTCATCACTGCTTCATTAAAAAGCCTTTTAAATGATGAGTAATTGCTGCTGTTTTATTCTGTTTTTTTTAAAGATACCAGAAATTATAGTTCAACTGATGGGATGGGATATGAACATGTAGAGGTTCCTCGGTAGGTTCTATAATTTTCTTAAAAGACTGTGTGAGTTGATTGAGTGGATTGAGAAACACTGATTTAGATCTTAAGGTTTGCAAAGAAATAATGTAAAACTATATTAATTACAATATAAAAAATAAGTTTACAGTCCTTAATTTATCTATATAACATTTATATATAATTCTGTTATCTGTTTGTTAGATAAATAAATTCTACAATTAAAATGTTATTCAAAATTTATTTATGAGAAAGAGTGTTATTCAGAGAAATTAAAAAGTGACTGTAGTATTTTCAGATAATTTTATAACAAACAAGGATTTTTTATTTTTATACTTGTAAATTTTTTCAAATCAATTAAGAAATACTAATGTTATGCAGCATTTGGAAATACAATTACTGAAAAATCAGATTTAAGAAAAATTTCATTTTTTTACTTTTAAGGATATAATTCAAAAAATTATTGACAATATTTATTGTTAAATGTAGCAGAGAAGAATCTACTCATTGTGATTATGGATATTAAAAAAAAAATACAGCATTGAATTTTAATAAATAAAGATTTTTGTTTACAAAAAATCAATGCTGTATTTTTAAAGATTTATTGTTATGTGGGTTATACTCGGTACACACCGGTGGCTGTGTACTATGCCGGACCAGAGTCAAGGCATAGCAACCAAAACAAAACTAAAATTAAATAAGTGTGTCAGTGTGTGTGTCTGTATTCAAGAATTTCCTAACAATGTGGCATGTATTCAATATAGTGGCCTTCTGTAGTGTGATGTATGTATTTCTACTCAATTGTAATGTTCCCAGGCTTTTGTGTAGTGTGTGTGGTATCACACCTGTACAGGAGAGAACAACAGGTACAATAACCACCCTATCCATCCTCCACAGATGCCTTATTTCCTGGGCGAGTTCTGTGTACTTGCTAATTTTTTCAGTGCATGTGTTTTGTACATTGTGAGTGTTTGGAATGGCTATGTCTATAATGTATGTGATTTTATTGTGTTTGTCAATGAGTGTGATGTCTGGTCTGTTGTGGTAAATTGTTTTATCTGTGATTATGGCTCTGTCGTAATACATTTTGTGCGTGTTATTTTCCAATACTGTCTGTGGAATATACTTGTAGTATGGTTCGTGGATGTCTGCCAATTTGTGTTTCTTTGCAAGCTCTTGGTGTATTATATTTGCTACTTGATTGTGTCTATGTAAGTAATCTGTCTGTGCCAATAGCTTGCACCCAGAAGTGATGTGTTGTGTAGTTTCTGGCACGATGTGACATTTTCTGCATGTGTCATTTGTGAGTGTTGTATCTTTGACTATGTGTTTTCTGTAGTTTTTAGTATTTATGACCTGATCCTGTATGGCAATCATGAATCCTTCCGTCTCCCCAAAGGCATCCCCGATCTAACCAGCTGTTTGATGCAGTTTTGTCAACAAAATCCCGGGTCAGGTTGTAAGGATGCCTGCCATGGAGTGCCTTTTTTGCCCACAATTGCTTGATGGTGTCTATGCTTTTTATATGTTGTGTCATGTCTGTATGTTGTGAGTGTAAGTTTAATGGTGTGTTATTTGAGTCTGCTAGAGTTACTGCTTTATGTAACTGTGATGTTTCTTGTTTCTTGTAGAAAAACTCTCGCAGTGACTGTATTTGTTTGTAGTGAAGGTTAACTATGTCAATCAGGCCACGTCCGCCTTCTTTACGTGGAAGGGTTAATCTTTCTGTGGCGGATTTAGGATGATGTTGTTTATGCTTAGTAAGTGTTGTTCTTGTTTTCCTTTGGAGTTGCTCGAGATCTGTGTGAGTCCAATGTATAACTCCAAAAGAGTATGTGAGTACTGGGATGACATATGTGTTTATTGCTTTAACTGTGTGTTTTGCATTTAACTGTGTTCTAAGTATAGCGTTTAACCTACTTTGGTATTCTTTAATTAATCGTTGCTTTATTTGTGTATGTTCTGTTAGTTTGGCCTGTTGGAATCCTAAGTACTTGTAGAACTCGCCCTCTTCCATGGATTCAATAACGTCTCCATTTCCAAGTGCAAAATCTTCTTTCTTCAGGATTCCTTTTTCTATGTGAAGTTTTTTGCATTTGTCTAGGCCAAACTCCATTTGTATGTCCTTAGTGTATGAATGTGTGATTTGTAGGAGTTGATGAAGTTGTTTTTGTGTGGATGCATAAAGTTTTATGTCGTCCATGTACATGAGATGTGAGAGTGTAAACTGTGTTGTTTTTTCGTGTCTGATATTGTAGCCGTATTGCGTGTTGTTTAACATGTTGGATAATGGATTCAGGGCTAGGCAGAACCAGAGAGGACTCAAGGAATCTCCTTGAAAAATTCCTCGCCTAATGAATATTTCGTTTGTTTGTATGGAAGTGTTACTAACCCTGAGATGTAGTGTTGTTCTCCAGTGCTGCATAGTGTTTTCGAAGAATGCAATGAGTGATGGATGTATTTTGTACATGTGTAGAATATGTAGCAGCCAACTGTGTGGAACACTGTCGAATGCTTTTCTGTAGTCTATATATGCCATGTGTATGTTTCTGTGTTGTTTGTGTGCTTGCCGTAGAATGACTGAATCTATGAGTAACTGTTCTTTGCATCCCCTGTGATTTCTACGGCAACCTTTTTGTTGTTCTGTAAGAATGTCGTGTTCTTCAACATGTTTGTATATTTTGTTTGTGATACAGGATGTCAATAATTTGTAGAGTGTTGGAAGACATGTAATTGGTCTGTATTGTGTGGGGTCTGTGGTTTTGTTGTTTTTAGGTTTCATGTAGGTAATGCCCCGAGTAAGAAATTTTGGCATGTCTTGTGGATTGATGATGATGTGTGTTAGATGTTTAGCTAGTTCCTGGTGCAGTGATGTAAACTTTTTGTACCAGAAATTGTGAATGTTGTCTACACCAGGTGTCTTCCAGTTGTGTGTTCTGTTAACAGCGTAGCGAATGTCGTGTATGTTTATTTCAGCACAGGGCATAGTTGGTATGTTGTGCAAGTTTCTGTTCTCCTCCTCGATCCAGCCTGCATCAGCATTGTGTGTAACAGCATTGGACCAAAGAGAAGACCAATAAGTTGTGAGTTCTTCTTCTGTTGGTGTGCCACTGTGCTGTGTATCAGTGTTTGTTTTGGTACTGATTTGTCTGTAGAAAAGTTTTTCATTGTTTGTGAATAATTTATTTTGTTGTTTTCGTAGTGTACATGTTTTGTATCGTTTGAGTCTACGTGCTTTGGCTGCGAGTTTTTGTTTTAGTGTATCGATGTATTCTGTAATGTGTGTGTTGTGATGTTCATGTTTTGTGTGTGTTTTGATTTTCTTGAAAATGTTTTTGAGTTGTTTCTTTAATTTGGGTGTTATGTTGTTTTTAGTGTATTGTGTCAGCCTGCCTAATTGCTGTCTAATGTCATTTATTTGTGTTTCTATTCTTCTCTGCCAGGCAGGCTTGTGATAGAATTGTGTTTTGTGTGTGTCTGTCTGTGAGTGTATTTTCAGTCCATGGTGTGTTACTACTGTGACTGCCCCAGCATAAACTAATGTATGAATGTCTGAGAGTGTAGAAATTGAATGAATGTAGTTTGGTAGTAAGTGAGTGTTTACATAATTTAGTGTTTTTCCTACTACCTTTGACGTGTTGATTTTTGGTATTCGTGGTCTTTGTGTGGGATCTGTACCAGTATATTTAATGAGTGTTTCCTGAAATATAAGTGAGAGCGTATTAACTAATTCTATGTCTACGTTATCAGTGATGGATGGGGAAGTGCCTGCAGTATCATTAGTGGTACTTGTTGTGTGTGTGCTGTAATCAGTGCTTGTTGCTGGATTATCCTGACAGGTTACGTGATCTTCATTAATGTTAAATGTTTCTGTCTGTTGATGTATTTGATCAGCAACCTGTTGTTTGATAAGTTCAAGTGTTGTTTGTGGGATAAGGTTGTTGTGTATAATTGTTCGTTTTTGATCAACAACCCTTTGTTCGGTGACAGTGAGGTGAGGATATTGTTGTGTGAATCTATGGTGTAGTTGTTGTCTGTATGCTGTCATGTTTGTTTCGAGTCTTGTGATGGTGTAGTAAGTGCGGATGATAAACTCGTTCATTTCTGTTGTCCATTTCATCCGTTGGCGTGGTTTTCCAGCCTTTGTGGTCTGTGGATGCATTGCCACAGAAACACCAAGGCTAGGTTGATTCCTCACATCTGTTGAGGGCATTGCAGTAGCCATGCTTGGGCCGGCGCTGCTTTCGCCACCGGTAACCAAGGGAGACTGGAGCCTATTTTTCGAACGTGAGCCTCTGCCTAACCCACGAACGCGGACCTTGTTAACCCGGGCGACGTCCGAGCCGGTATCATACTTAGATCTGGTTACTACCATAATGATTATCTCCACAGAATGTGGGTGTGTGGTCACTCTTAGCTTCATTTCTCCCCATAGACCTTACTGGCATGGGTGTCCCTACCAGGAGCTTGTGCTCCAGCCTGCATTGCCCTATGGATCTGTAAAACTACTGGGCTCTCCCACCACGACCAGGTGGTGACCACGGGAGAGTTATTATTATTATTATTATTATTATTATTTTATCCAGTTATTTATGTTTTATCAAGATAGTGAATATTGTTATTTATCATCTAATCTTATTAGAATTAGCAAATTTTAGAACATAAAATATAAAAAAAATACACTACATACATTTCTAAACTTTCCTTATTGTAATCAGAATTTGGTTGTAGTTACTTTGGTTATCTTTGAGTTACTGGGCACTTAAATAAATTACACCACTGACGTCAATAACCAGAGAAATGAAAAAAATTTTTTCTGTAACTAATAGTGTCGGTGGTGTGATTTACTTTTGTGTTAAGCCAGTATTTTTGATGACAGGTATGGCAGCATTTATTGTTTTATTTTCACTACTATCTTTGTTATTGTTATCAGTCTAGAATGGTTTTTTAAATGTTAAACATTTATTGTTTTAATTATTATTTGCTTAAAGTCAAAGCAAATACTAATTAAAAAAACACTATTAATAATAATTAATAACAGATACCAGCAATTTAAACTACTTTATTTGCAATAAAGTAGTTTAAATTGCTGGTATTTGTTGTTTCAGTTGTATTGCTAGATGTATCATAACTGTTTATTAATTAATGGTAATTAATAAATCTTCAACTTACACATTTTTTTTTTTTTGCTTTAAAGTTATTTTTTTAATTTATGAATGGATTAAGCCAAAATTTCCAGTAATTGTAGTTTTTATGTAATTATCCTGCTTGCAATGTTATGGAAAACTCAAAAAGTTCAAAAAATACTTATACTGTTCTGAATCGTTGTCACTGGAATCATAACTTTATCTCAATCATGACAATTGGAAATTCTGTCTCCGATACAGAGTCTGAAATAATGTTGCAGCAGTTTTGGTTGCCTTTTTTTCATTTATATTTACTCATACACACAAGTTTGATATTTAATAGGAAAATGATACTAATATTAATAAACTTTAGTATATATTGTGCCATCATTTTTCCATAAATTCTTTTAATCTCTTTTGATCAAAGAGAAACAAATTGCACCTGTTAAGCAAGATAATCTCGCTTGTCGGTTGGGTGATGTATTCCGAATAATGCATTTTTAAGTACGTTTGTGATAAGTTAAATTCCAAGTTAATTTTCATAGAAGTGTATCAATATAACTTTTCTGTTTCTTTTTAACTAAATACAATACCTCAAAAATAAAAATAAGGGAAATACAATAAGAAGAAGAATGAGCAATTATCTATTGTGACATGGTCACAATGGCGGGCTGCAATTTTTAATTAATTCAATTTAAAATGTATGCTCTCAAACTCAAATTAGTAGTGGCTTGGCCCCATACATCAAACTTTTCTTTTAACAATAGAATTGTGCCCGTCATCTATCTAACACCTTTAGGGGAATGCTTTGAATTGAAATCACGCGACTTCCGGTTCGCATTAGAAGTTCTTATATAGTTAATCGGGATCTCCTGCCCCTAAGCTTTCCCTATCTAGCCTCCTGTTTTATCTAACTTCGTTCTGGAGATTGAGGAAGGACGGACAGACGACAGCGGAAATTTACGGGTCTACAATTTTTTTGAAATTGCAGCCCAATAAAAATGAGGTTGGGTTTCATCCACAAATGCATAATGTTATTGGTCAGTTATTAATATCAGTATAGGTGAGTCCCAAAGCAATTACAATAAACAGATTCTACCGTTTTAAAAAAACATTTCATTAAGCTTGGTAAAAACTATTCTCATTATTTTCTGTTTATTAGTGAGTTTCTTCTGGTAAATACGTAAAATAAAAATACAAATACTGTATTAAAATTCTGTATAATAATATACGAGGGTAAGAAAAAGAATACAGAAAATAAACCAACCATAATGTTATCCAAAGAATTTTGCTAAAGAAGAAAATACTTAGTAATACTTTTCTATCAAGTTTATTGAACTTTTTGTTATATTTATTATTGAACATTATAAGTTTTCTCTTAACAATTAGGATTTTGAATATAACACGTTTAATATATTGACTTTCCAGAACGTTTTTGCTTTTCTTTATAATGATTATTCTACAGTTATTGGGCGGCAATTTGAAAAAATTGTAGATCCGTAAATTCCCACTGTCGTCTATCCGCCTGTCCGTACGTCCGTCCTTAATCTCGAGAACAGAGTTAGGTAGACGTAACCCGAGACCAGATACCTAAAGCTTAGAAGTAGGAAGCCCCGATTATATACGAACTATATACGAACTTCCGACGCAAACCGGAAGTCACATTACTTCAATTCACATTCAATCTGTGATCTTCATTTCTGTTTTTGCGACGAATGTTTCAAATGAAATGCTGCTATAATTTTTCTTACAATCAATACAAGAACATTGTGTAAATTTTGCATTTAAATTTATACATTGCTCTTGTACGAGTTTCAGAAAAAGGTATTTTACCATTAACGTAATAAAAATCCTCCGAAGTTTACAGAGTTGTTAACAATTTTCAATGCTCGAATGAACACAAGCTTCTTAGGCCATATTTTGGAGGCATCTGATAACGATTAACAATACAATATAATAATTTGAAATTGGGTTATAAAACACAAAATAAAAATAAAAAATACTTTTTGCCCATTCATTATATAATAAATCTGATTTTATCAATGATCGGAACAGTGCTGGAAAATTTTAGAATATTACGAAATTATGCAGGGAAGCGTTAAATTATCTGGAGCTCCTAAAACGATTACAATTTACTCAAAAATTGTCGGCGTATATTCGCAACCTCTCGTATAAGTGTTTCGTTCGATCCGTGTCTAGTAATTTTGTTTAATATAACTCCGTTTTTCAAATTTATTTATCGAGAGTCACTTATTACTTCAGTTTGTATCTTTTTAAAGGTCTAGACGTCATTCCCTGGCTGGGAAATATTCAGAATCTCGGACCGATAAGTCTGGCCAATCAAAACGGAGACGAAATTATTTCTCTTCCTCTTAAACCTTCGGAAAAGAGAAGTTACGCGCAGAATTGCGTGGTTTGGATCAAACAAACGGGTCTTCAGGTAAGAATCGAATATATTGCGCTTAAATGTAATTTTGTATAATTAAATCTTTAAAGGCGTACTTTAAAATACGGTTAAAAACACCGAGAAACTAAATAAATAGTTACATAAAAGTTCGTTTTACCGTCGCTTCCGACTATTCCTAACCTACGTCGTCGCTGCCGCTGCAATTATGTAAAATTTATCGCTACGTCGGTGCAAATTTTTATAAACCGTACCTAAATTTAGCATTCGTTTATAAATTCGACGGTAAATATTTTCTTATTTAATTTGTCAGAAATTCGAGAATTTCATTTTTTCTTCGTAAATACATCGTTCCGGAAATTTCCACGGGTGTCGTGTGGTAACAACGCGTAGTTTTTCTGGTAGATTTCGACCTTTCGAAAACAAATACGCGCTTCGTGGGTCAAAACGGGCTTTGGTTTTCCAGAAAGCGCGACGTAATAGCCAGTACCGTAACGGTAATGGATGTTCGGGCAACGTCACGCGTGTTAGCAATTACGTATCCCAGTTTGCTATTCTCGGCCGGGATTCCGACATATACGAAACCGGCGCCAAATGTAGCCAAATTATTCCGCCGGGAAAGAAGTGAAACGTTCCCAAAACCGGCGTCTGGTTTTTAAATGGCCCGGCCGCCAATCGGTCATTTACCGAACGCGTGACTGCGCGAAATTTACGGCCAGGACGTAACCGGACGGAAGAAGCGGCGGCCGGGGTAAGTCACGAGTGTCGGGAAATTACAATTCGGACGGGGATTTGCCGTCCGAATTGTAATTTCCCGGTGGGAACGGACGACGACCTTCGATTCGCCCCGCGTAATTAGCCGGTATGGGCGCGGGGGGAGTCTTTATCGCGTAAATCGTTAGCGGAATAAAAATGGATTTTTAATTCCGTCCGACGTAAAATTGCGGAAAAAGATTACGTTAAACCTCGGTTTTTACCGCAGGCGGACATCCAGAAAATATTAAGACACGCCAGAAAATTGCCGGAGAAAACTCAGAATTTCTACAAGGTGAGAATTTTAAGTCTTCTTATTTGGTACGAACGCTTCGGCGCGTGTGTGTGTGTCCGTTTTTGCATAGACTTAAGTATAAATGTTTTAATATTAAACCGCTGAAAGTCACGGAATTGTTTTGCCTACGCCGATCGATCTGGCTGTTTTCCGTCTGGGCGTCGGACCGCGGGTGGACTAGACACGGACGAAGCGCCGTAATTTATATATTGATACTTCCGAAGCGAAGGTTAGGAAAATTTTTCGATTCGTACTTCTCGAATGGAAGTGCAGACGCCTGCCGTAAAATTCGGCGGGAGTTTCGGCCCCCTCAATTTCGCGCCGGCGCGTTACGGCTTTACGGGAAAAGAACCGTTTGGCCACCGGTGGACCGTACGGCGTCGACCGGGGGGGAATTTCTTTTTGGAAATGTTTTCTTTATAAGAAATCGGTTCGGGGCTCCGATCGTCCTTTTTACTTTCCGTCCGCGGAAAGGTAAAAATTAAAAATGGCAAAACGAATCCGGACGGCCGCGCCAAAGGAGATTGTATCAGCGCGCCCCGTTAAGAAATTGGAAAATGTTTTCTCAGGAATTGAACAGACTCCGAAGAGCGGCGCTGTCTTTCGGTTTCTACGAGCTGCTGGAGGGGATGGCCACCATCCTGGACCGGGAGTGCACCCTGCTGCCCGGTTCGGCCCACCCGGACGCCGCCCTGCAACTGACCCACGCCGCCACCAATCTGAGAGGACTGGCGGGAAGAGACTACGGCGTGCCCATCGTGCCCATGAGGACCAAGTTCAGCATCGACAACTGACCTTCCTCCGTAAATACCGGCGCTTTTTAATTAATAAACCTTTTATTTAATTAAAACTAACATTTTCTTCCGTTGTAATAACAATACGGTATTTAGTCTTTACCCTTTGCCGAGGTGTAGCGCGTCGGACTTGGTCTTCCGCTTAAACCCAAGTAAGTTTTAGTTGTTTTTTCCGATCGGGACGTCGGACGTTAACGGATTTCCGCGACATTAACGATTTGGGACGAAAAAGACGTTGTTCCGACTCGTAGCGATGCGCGAAGGCGGAAATATTTAAGAAAGGAACGATAGGCTTTCCGGTTCGCCCGCGCGGGTCGACTAAATTCTTAAATCGTAATCGTTTTAACATTTAACCCACCTTCCGGTAAACGCGATCCACCCGTACCGGGCAAAACGTATTTATCTTTTAAGAATCGAGCGCCGGCATCTACATTCGCATTACGGCGCCCGTAGCCGGAACCGCTTTTATGGTATTTTCCGGCTTTATTGGTTAAAAATGCAAACGAGTTACATTTATTGACAGACGCCTTACTTACGAACGAATGATTTCTTCGTAAGAAAAATACGATAACGTTTAGAACGGAATGCCGTAAGATCGTGAATTATCACTAAAGTGAAATATAAGGCCGCTTATAAGTCCATATTTTCTCGCCCTAAAAATACTTCTGGAAGTCTTTTCTGTCTACCAACTTCTACAATTCCAAAGTTACCTCGGATCCGAAAACCAGAAATCGTAATTGGGCGAAACTTCCGTTAACGGACACTCCGGCATTTTTACAATCTCGTATTATATTTACTTGTAAATAGCGGACACTTTAAATAACCGACCCCGTCGTCCGTAACCCGCCTTCGATATTCCGAAAGAGCGAATTACGTAAGAAATATTTCGAAACTAAAAGAATCTGTTCGAGTACTCTTTCGGAAGACGAATTTCGATGGTAGATGTTGGTTACAACGACGCTAAACGAAGATTTCGACCCGGTGGTTCGTCCGGAAACCGTCCGCCGTGTCGGTTGCGGAGCGAGAGTAGCCGGAAGAAAGCCGTATACTGTATAAGCAAGATGAATCGAATGGAAGATCGTATAAATAAAGATAATTCATTTTGGTCTAAACTATTGTTTTCGGACTAAAGTAAATTCGCTTTAATTCGTAACCATGGAAAAAATTTACTCCGGTGAAAACCCGACTCGGAGCCTTTACAAAAGAATGTTCCGGCCCTAATAAGACGCGTAGTTTGTAGCGCGATGGTACGGGGTCGATGTGAAAATGCGTATTCGTAGACGATACGATGGATAAAATGATGCATTTAAATACTCTCGAGGGAAATCTTCGGTAAAACGCAAATAAATTTGGACCGTGGCTTTTACTTTCGGCCGGACGACGACCGTAAACATTTGTCTTGCCGGCCAAATGTTTTTTAATCGTAAAGTAGTCATCGAGGGACAAAAATAACGCGCGCCTCGCACTCCGAGACGTCCCGCCGTCTCCGGATTCGAATCCTATCGTGTAATTTTAGTTTAAAATTTGTAATATACTTTATATTATTTTCAACTATGCGTATACGATTTTTATTTCGAAAACAATTATTTTAACCATATTTCGGTATACAAAAATACCGACTGCGCCGTTACTTTGTTTACCACTGTAGTTAATTCGGGTCTCCCGCCCCTAATACCCGGCATTTCGAGGTCGGCGCCCGTGCCGAGGGGCGACCTCTCTCTCCGCCGAAACCAAGTTCGATGGCGATCGACGCGACAGTTTTTGAAACTAGATCCAGCCATAAGAGTTCCCGCAACCCTCGCGCTCGAGAGGAAACGAGATGGTTGCGGAACGAGTGTTGGGTTATCGGCGGAGAAACGATAAGATCTGGCTGCTATTAGATATATGGCAACAAAACTTCCATTTTTTGTCGGTGTTCGTGACTTATCGCGTAGTTACGTCAGTTTTATCGTGGTGTGGAATAGTCGGGTTCTTCTCGAGCGGCTGCCTGCGGGAACAACTCGAGGTTCGACTGGCGACGGTTACGATTGAGATTATGAGTCGTGGATTGTGCGCGAATGCGGTGCGGTGAAGTTTCCATATAATTATGGTCTGGGCTGTCGTCTATGTAACTCCTTAGTCGAGATTAAGGAAAGACACTGTAGGACGGACGGACGACAGTGGGAATTTACGGGTTACAATTTTTTCAAATTGTAGCCCAAAAAGCCGAACAATACTGTCTGTTAGAGAAGTTTAATCCGGTTAAGATGTCAATCGTCACTTTGAAAGGTGAGAAGATATTCGGTATTCTGGCATATACGACGTCGTTTACCGTCTTAACGGCTCGGCGGTGGCTTAGATGTAATTTTTTTTATAAATCATTTACCTGAAAAAAAAACATTGGAAAAATTACACCTACTCGATAAATACAAAGACAAATCCCTAAGTGGATGTTTATTAGTCGCTCGGATCATAAATAATAATATAAATGCGAATATCGAACACATTTTTCACCCCCGGAAGTGGCTAGAGAATCGTCTGGGTAACTGGATATTCCAATTCTCACCGCCTAAATCCACCTCGGTTCTAAGTTTCATTTTTCTTCGTCGTTCGCGCCCTTTTTGAATCGAATTAATAATTAATCGACGGACGGCATTTACGTTTCGTCGTAATTGTTACGTGTCGTTTAAAGTGTCTCGTCTAGTTCGTTGGCTATTTAGTGTACTGTACTGTATATATACCCCGTATTTTATAAAGGTTCTAGAGTGTACATTATTATTCCAATAACTGAGTAACTTGTTTAATCCCGATATTTTTAATCATATAAGATACGTATACCGTCTCCGATAGAACAATACGTACCGATATTGGGGATATTAATATTTAAAAACTTGTTTTTCGAGATACGTGGGTAAACGCAACCCGCACTTAACTACTTTAATATTTTTCTCACTCCAGTCGTCGTTCTTTAATGCGCTGGCTCGATTTAATTAGCCCGTTTAGACTTTGTCTACGACTTTAAACCACGCTGGCTCCGTTCCGTTTTATTTAATGTATAACGAGTTCCGTCGACGGCCCCGGGATCGGGCGAAAAGACCGACGTTGCCTATGCGCCACGGTGCGGAAGAAATTGACATTAATGCCGGCTGGGGATCTACGACGTTGACCGAGGGAACCGGTTACGTTCGAACGCCCGTGATAACTTTACTCGGGGGTCTTCGGCCACGACAAAATCCCACGCTTTCCGTCCGAAGACGGCGCGATTTTCGCATTCTTAATTCCCACGGAAACCGCTAACCTCACACAGACGTTAGCCTGCGTTTTTAGCGCTTAAGAAGCGATCTCTCCGCTTTTAACGTAATAGTGTGGCCGTATTGTTAAAGCCGCCAGAACACGCGACCGTTTCTATTATCCGAAAACCAGCGGGAAGAGATTTTACGCCCGTTTTTCTTTCCGTAATTTCGAGAAATTACTTAAAATCCAACGCCGACGCCAAAATATTCCGTTTATAAATACGGGAGGAAGCGGTCTAGTTTATTTTTCCGCGGGGGAGAGAAGCCGTTAGCGGCGCGGGTTCTTCCGACGACGACTATTTATAGTCGGTCCCGGGCTCTATTTTTAAGCCGGAGAGGCAGTATGGCCGCCGAGGTGCGTAGTCGACGAGCGGTCTCGGGGCCGACCGTCGAAGGAATCTTCTTCTTTCTGCTTCTTGTGCGTGAGTATCTTCCTCTTCCCACCTTCCACCTCCTCCCTGTCGGCGGAGGGGAGGTCGAAGGTCGTCGGAGGCCGCCGGGTCCCCCAATCCCGAGAATCTCTCTTCTCGCCGACGCTTTCGCGCCCGTTTAATCGCATCCGGCGTTAACGCGCGAAATGCCGGCGCGATCGGTAAAAGAACGAGAATACACTGAACGTAATAAAACCTTCCATCTTCCTTCCGGTCGTTTTCCCTCCCGCGGGCCATTTTTTTTACCACGAAATGACGGACGTTTCGTGTGTTTGTCGCTATCTCGGCAGAGTCGGCGGCCGGCCGGGTGAGCTACTCGGGGGACGAAGAGGTAGAGCCGGGGAGGCCTTTCAGAATCAGATGCGAGATGGCCGACGACGGAGAGGAGCCGTACTGGACCAGGGACGACCACGATCTGCGGGACGAGGACGAATACGTCACGGTGGAGGACCGTCGAGGGGAGAAGACGGTGGCCGAAGTGTCGGTGCGCTCCGCCCAGAAGAAGCACGCCGGAAAGTACCGCTGTCACCCCTTCAGCCGCCACTTCCATCTCCTGCGAGTGCGGGACGACCGAGCCACGGGTAAGTCGTTCTCGGAAACTTTTCTTCCTCCGCCGACCGCGACGAAAAATACGAAATAAAGATTTCCACCCGCGTCGTTACGTCGGCGCGACTCGCCTTCTCTTAGCCACGGTCTTAAAATTTCGTTTCCGATCCTTTCTCTGCCGCCGCGGGCCTTTTCTATTTATTTACGGCGCGGTTATTTTTAGAGGGTGGCGAATTTCGCCGGAATTGGGTGGAGTTTCTGCTCCCGACGGTTACGGGAGGCGGAGTAGGCGCGAAGCGGGTAAACACTGGTAGCCGCCGTAATCTTCCGACTATTACGAGAAGAATAAACGGAAAACAAAGGAATCGACGTTCATCCGAATGCGGAGAAAGTTCCTTTATAAGTTTCGGACAAAACGGAAGCGTTTACAGTATTCTTCTCACGCGGACGATCCCCACTCCAATTACTTTACTTATAGTTCAATAAAGATTAAAACAACGGCATCGGTGATATTTCTAAAATTAAAATTCTAAAAATAAAAAATTAATCTCGGATTAAAAGTAGAGGAGAAGGTGGTATTATGGAACCCCAATAACATTTTAGTGAATTGTAAACAAGGTATCGTAACTACACCCACATTTTTTGTGCGAAAAGTACCGGTAACTAGTAAACTAAATGTTCCTAATTGGATTTTTCGCCAGTGTAATTATAAGTATGGTTTTTGAAGGCTTTTGTACAAAAAGTCCGAAAGTAGGCTTAGAGAAAATCGGGTGGTAATATGGAACCTTACTGTATATTTTCAAAAAAATGCTTTAATGTAGCCAAAAACATAGGAAAGGACAAAAAATGTTAAATAATTACAAAATTATTTACTCCAATGCATTTTATCGAAAAAATGCTTTTATAATAGAAAAATATGACCTCCATCAACAATATATATTCCAGCAGCTCTTTTTCGATATTTTCAGACTTTCTACCTAGTGTCTTTTTCCCAAATTGCTCCGGACGAATGTCTGATTGCAAAGAGAGAGTTCGGAGGAGTTGAGTTCTATATTACTGTAAAAGCACGAAAGGGGTCCGTATTTCACCCATCGCCATCTCGAATTAACTTATGTCTGTCGAGACCAAAATTTAAAAAACGTGAACATCACATAGATTAATATGTATCCCTAAGTCTCTGGAACGGAATACGTGCACCGGTGAACCTACAACTACGCGATTTATATTTTAAAAAGAATTAAATTCACTTAGCATTCAAAACTTGTGAATTTTGAAAAAAACAAATTTGCTGATTAAATACGGACAACCGTTTAACCGAAGTAAAACGGGTTTTCCCCTCGCTATGGATGTCTGCCTAGTTCAGTTCATCCACATTCCGCTACAGTTCGCCTTTATTATCAGTTCGAAATGGGGTGGTTCCATAATACCCGCAGTGTTCCATAATACCACCTTCTCCTCTACGAGTTTTATAACCGATTTCGAAAGATTTATACTAGCGAACAAATGATTAACAAAAAGATATTATATTTAAACGCACACAACCAAATTCTTCTTGTTTATTAGATTCAAAACTTGCAAATGCGTTTCGCTATTGTAGCATCATCAGTGGACAATAGGACAACAGCCAGCTCGTTGGCTTTATGCTGGTAATTCTTTCCCGGCACGCATCCACGTTCATACCGACATTCTGGTTTATCAAATTTACAAATTCGGCGATACAAAAATGTTCTATTACCCTTCTTTTAAAATAGTTTTCTACTTTATACAATATTTTTACGTTATTTCTGCCAATTTTACAATGATAATTACTGCGGCGTAGGTACAGTACCGAGGTGACTCGTCTTTTTAGACGAATCGCTGCTTCGTGTTCTTTTAGGCGCGTCTCGAGCTTTCTTCCCGTCTCCAACGTATGACAAGTACAGTACAGTATAGTACAGTACAGTTTATAGACCACTCCCGCGACGTCCAGTTGATTTTTCATCCCGTTTTCTTTTTCGGTGTTTATAACATTAACATACACATTGGACAGTTTATTTTTCTGCTCGGCCCCTACACGTATAGAGAACTTCTTAAAAACCGGTTTATATCGTTGGTAAAGATTATATATATAAGGAATTTTTACATAAACATTATTATTTATATGGTTTTTTACATTATAATTTATAAAGGAATTATACCACTTACGGATTTTACTCTTTGGATAATCATTTAAAACAATTATTTAAAAAGTATTTATTATTCCTTTATCTACGTCTTTCCGTAGAGATGTTCTATTTAATAATTTCCTCGGTTCCGTAGCGAAGACGTTTTTCTTAGTATCCGTAGGACAATACGATTTATAATTAACCGTTTTTCCCGTATTACGAAACGCCAATGGCGTTTTTTCCGGTTTTATAGCCATATCCAAAAAATTTATTTCTCGATTCGGTTCTAATTCGCCGGTGAACTTTAAATTATTGTTCGATTTGTTTGCGTAAACTTCAATTTGGCGGGGTGTAATTATACGCGAGTCAAATACTATTAATATATCGTCTACGTAACGCGCATAAAACTCTATACCCGGAACTTGCCGTATATTTTCGTCGATTGGTTTCGTACGGATCAATTTGGGTCCTACGACTGATCCCGTAGATATTCCATTTTTTTGTCGATAGAAATCTGCATAAATTTTAAAGTAATTATTTTTGAATATGAATTCTATAAGAATTAATATATATTCCGGTATTTTATATTTGCTGGTAATTTCTTTTATCATTTCCAATGTTATGGATGGATACATAGACTTAACGTCGAGACTCATAAGACAATGACTCCGTTTAATTTTACCTTTCATCAGTGCATATGTATTTTTTATACTGTATGCCGATTTATCAATTATCTGTAAATAATTTTTTAAAAAGCGTTCCGAGTTATATAAAACTGTTTTTTTTTTTTATCTAATAAAGGTCTGCGCGTATCGCTCGGTTTACGAGTTTTAACTGTTAAATGTAATTCCTGTTGTCTTACGTTATTGAAATTTAATATATTTTTTACCCGCCGACTGGAAAATTCCTTTTTGTATTTCCCCGTTAATTTCGTAAGATCGTTTCGTATTTCTTTTAACGGATCCGTTGCTATTTCATTTTTCCTTCGCCGTAATTCTTTTTTCGTTAATACGACCGATCGGTGCGATTTATCCGCCTGGACTATATAAAGTTTATTTTTATCAAAAAATTTAATTATTCTTTTAGTTTTCTTAGTTATTTTAATCGCTTTTTTATCTAATATATAATCGTTTTTACCTTTATATTTCCCAAATCTTTGCTTATGTCGGATCTTAACATGGCTTTTTCCTCGTTCCGGATATTTTTCGGGTGGCATTTTCCGTTTCGGCCACTTTCGGATTTAGCGCGCGATGGGAGATTGGCGTTATATCCCCGACACGGGAGTCTTACAAAATCGCCGGGATCTTCGCGTCGGTGCGGTTAACCATTCTTGTTTTTCTAGTTCGAATTTACTATTTAATTTAATATCTCTATTTGATAAATAGGGATCCGGATTATGATTTGTGACTACGTTATTTCCATTAGTTCTCTTCGTTCGCTTTAATTTTTACGCAATAAAAAAACATATCGGAACGAACCACCTCCGAAAAATTCCTGGGGATTTTTCGACCCGTTCCGATTCGAGCCCCCAGAGCGGTAGACCGCAACCTTTACCGCTCGGTCATCCGGTCGCGATCGAAATAGGTTATAAAAGAGTAGTTTTCACTCGTACTTTTAATCAGAGAATAATTTTTTTTTTATTTTTAGAATTTACAAAGAATTTTAAGTTGCTTCTTTACAGACACACTAAGGTGACATTATTCAACACTCGGCAGATTATTCACCAGTTTATTCGGTTGGGACGCTATTTACAAGTCGCGTTTCGGGCATTAGCCCCTCTTCGGCCAACTAAACATAAAAAATAAAACACGAGAAAAAAATATACATAAATACGCGAGTAAAACATCCCGTAGATAAAACATTTTAAAAAACATACCACAAAAGCACAAATCACGAGCGTACAGATGTCGTACAGAATGGACAGTTTTATAATCTATACATATATATTATATTTTTTTCTCGTGTTTTATTTTTTATGTTTAGTTGGCCGAAGAGGGGCTAATGCCCGAAACGCGACTTGTAAATAGCGTCCCAACCGAATAAACTGGTGAATAATCTGCCGAGTGTTGAATAATGTCACCTTAGTGTGTCTGTAAAGAAGCGACTTAAAATAAACAACACGGTTTCATCAAAATCAAAAGAATTTTAACTTTTTACTTTATTTATTTTTCGCTGGCAGAAGAAAGCAAGAAATTCGAGTATTTACTGGCTGTCAATCAAACTCTGGAACTGTTCTGCGATTTAGGAGAGAAAACCGACCGAGTGCGAGTCCGATGGTAAGTAGTCTTTTCTTAGCAAATACGGCGCGCGTGGTCGGGCGCGTAGGGCTAGAGATGGCGGTAATCGTTTCGTCACTTATTCGACTTTGCCAAACAGTCGTCTAGCAGTCTCCCGGACGGTCCTCCGGCACCACCACCGCCTTCGGACCCGCGGGTTGCCGGCCAGTCTTCTCTCGACGGAGGTCTGTCGACTGGAAATCCGTAGCCGCCACCCCCGCGGAGCCGTCGTCCTCCTCGCGGCTCCACAAATACCGGTAGTTAAGTAAAAATTTACGGACGTAACTATTCGTCCGGCAGCTTTCCGCCGGAAAATTTTGCGCCTGGTAATTTCCCCACCTGACCGGGATGTCTTTTCTAATAGAATTCGCCGTAATATAGAAACCGGCACCGGATAATTTTTTGTTTGCGCTCCCAAACGTCGTAAAACACCCGTTATTAGAGTAAATTTTTCCGGCGAGAATGTCCCCGCCAGTTCTCGGTCGGATTTAGGTCCGGGCTTCTTGCCGGTCGCTTATTTGTCCGGCGCCAACCACCCGTGCCGACGTCGTCCCGTGGGAAAATCCAATCGGGTCCTCCGGTTTCTTCTCCCATAGGTATTAAATTTTCTTTTAGGATTTCTCGAAAACTTTTAGACTATCGGTTAAAATCGCTAAATTTCGTAAACCGTAAACCGTCGTAACGTAGATACCACCCTTTCCCTTGCCGAAAAACTGCGCTCTTCTTTCCTAATTTCGCCGCAGTAATTAGGCTATCCGAATTAAATTTCTTTTCGTGGCCGAAAAGAACCCGGAGCCGTCGGTCGTTCCGCGGAGCGTCGTCTCTAACCCGCCGCATTCTTGCCGATTTGTGTCGTTCGTTACGGTGGTATTCTCGCGGTGGCAGCGAATTTCGTAAGAGGAACCGCCGAACTTCTCGAACGAACGGCGCTTTTTGATATTTTTAATTCGACCGACCGATTTATTCGGTTGCCGCGCCAGCCGTTCGATTCGATCATCGTCCCTTCCAGGCGTGATTTCGGGTCTTTCCCCTCGATGTTTACCAGGTTTTGGTGACGATTTTCCCAAAATTTTATAAATTTCGGTAGCGGCCGCCTGGGTTAAAACGGCAATTTCCCGGACGCTGTAGCTTTCGGCTTTTATTTTTCATATTTTTGCAATTTCTTCCGTACTAAACCCTCTTCCGCGGGGAATTTTGAAAAGTTTCGATTGGATATTCAAATTATTACTCGACGACAAAGTTAAAATTCTTCCTCGACCTTATTTATTATTATTTTCGTAATTTGCAAGTTTTACAATTCTGTTTTATTATCGGTCCTTTCGGGACAGCCAAAAATATATTTTTCTTGTTAAATTATTAACATAATGATATTTAATTTTAAAACGATGAAAGATCGGCGTAAAGTAATTGGCGTATACGAATGAAATCATTTTTACATTTCTCTCAAATTCCCAACGATTGTGAAAAGTAGTAAAATGTCGGAGCCACAGTTAGTTTTCCTCGGATTGGTGGTAAGAATCGAATACGGCACTAATCCCGATGGTAAGCTAACTAATTACGGGTGGAAAAATTGATGTTAATTGAACTTTATCCGGAAATAAATTTATTTTGTACGAAACCCGACTTACTTTTCCCAAATCGAAATTTAAAAAAGCCTAATTTCTCTGGGTGGCGCGCTTTGCAATCGTAACGAAATTCGTCGACCGGTTCCTACCGTCCGGAAAATCTCATTTCCGAATGTTCTCGAGCGTACAAACGGTCGAACGACGCCAGTGCCTCCCCCCAAGCACTCCTTCCGCTTTAGGAACGGCATTACGTAAGTAAATTTGTCAAAGCGGGCGACGAAAGTAAGAATAACGATGACGCCGTTGGGTTTAACTCCGCGGATTTTACCAACGTAGTCCGAATTGTATCGGGTCGAGTAATCGAACGATTATTACGCTACGCTGCCGCCTTTACCGGGAGTCACTAGAACGTAGATTATGACGGCGACTCGATTCTGCCGCGATTCGCGTCGCTTCGACCAGAGTGCAACAGCAATGTTAGAACATTGACGCTGGCCTAAACGTAGTATCGTATTAGAATCCGGACAATTGGTAATTTTCAAGCGAAACCGTAATTAAAACTAATCGGTATCGCTCGTTTGCGCCAAGATTCGTATTTAAATATTAAATATGCCCGGCCGAAAGAAATAAGGACCCGACATTAAAATGAAAACGGTATTAAAAGTTTGGTTCTTTTACCTGGCAGTTGTTATTTTCGTCGCCGAATGCGGAGGGGACGGACCGTGGGGTTTTCCGGTAGCTTAATTTTCCTCCGGGTCCTAGAAAATAAGTACGAAAAATTTGGTGCGGTTGCGTCAAAGAGTTTACCAGCGCGTACAGAACGGACAGCCGATTGGCATTGTTTTCAAACTTATACTGTTTTATATACGTTAGATCCGAAGTAAACCCGCCCGTTTATCGACGAATTCCTTTGCCTCCGCCAATAATCGCGGCGCGGTGCGGGTTGGCGGATCGTAGTTTTGAAGAAAACTCAGCATCTGCGGGGAGAGGCGTCCCGTCCACGCCGCCGGGTAGGAAGAAACGCTTTAAAACTTTATCGCTTAGGCGACGAAATTGTTCGAATACCAAAATATTTACGCGGACGGAGCACCTCCCGGCATCGGCTCTCGGCCAACGAAAACGACGCTCTAACTTTGCCGTCTTAAAAGACAGAGTTTCGGCCAACGACCGCGCCCCATTCGATTACGTTTTGCCGTCGAGTGCGCGATTTAAAACGGGACGACGTAAGGTACAGTACAACCGTTAGCCCCATTTATTGGTTACTCGAGCATTTCCACGCGTAAAATTACTACCCGCGACATCGTAACTTAGGAGACTTACGACTGGCGGAATCCGTAATCGCCGCAATAAATTTCGATGAAATCGTGGCAATTTGTGTCTGGACTTCTCCGTATCGCCCGAATTTCTTAGAAACCCGTATAATACGCGGATCGTAGCGACACTAGCGCCGAATCTCCCGGTACGGGAAATTTTGTAACTCTAGCCGTGAAGAAAGTTTGCGCGTTTGGTTCGTTCTTTCGCCGCGCTCTAAACACCACTCTGCGAATACTGTAGATGTATCGCGCGTATTGGTCCAGTCGAATCGCCGCAATTCTTCGATTACAACATTTAGAATTTAGAAACGCCATTTCCTTTCGTTGCGCCGCCAAGATCCCTTTTCTAGTTCGAAAACTGCCGTTCCAAAATAATCTATTAACAATATTTTATTGGAGATTTCCGGAAAGAAGTCGAGTCGCCTCTTCCCAATTCTTATAAAGGAGTTAAGTCAATTCTGTCTTCCGCGTAGACGTTTAGAGCCTGTACACACTAGGCGTTTTTCAACGCGCGCTTTTAAACGCGCGTTTTAAAGAACCAAGAGTTCTATTAGGCGTACACACTCAAACGCGCGCTTATAGATTTTTGTTAAAACGCGCGTTTTGCGGGCGTCAGCCGAGCGCTTTGAGATATATGTGCTGCCATGTTACTGTACATTCGATCGCGCATTTTGCGGGCGTCAGCCGAGCGCTTTGAGATATATGTGCTGAAATGGAGAACGATCATTTCGATACTGATCTATTTATTGATGAAATCTAAAAGAGACCAACCATGGTCAAAGGATTTTATAGATATTTTAAAAGAATTAAAAAACTTGAATTTATTTTGTCTTAGTTTTGGATACAACGTCGCAAACATTTCATGCGTCAGTCTATCTCGTAATATTGGGTGCACCCAAAATTCTCTTTGCCTCCGCCGTCGTCTTTTATAGCGACGATAGAGGAGCCACACACGAGCAATCACTTCCACATCCATTTCCAAACCGAGCCAGTGCGCACGCTCCGCTAAACGCTCGTCCAACGCCGAGCTAACGCGCGTTTAAAAACGCCTAGTGTGTACACAGCCTTACCGTTCCTCTCCTTCCCCTTAATTACGCGTACAATTCGAGGTGCGTCGTGGCGGAGGAGGCGGAAAGTGTCCGGAAAACTATTCGCCCACCGTAATTAACGACCAAAAAAAACCCGATTATCCGGATTGCCTTCGACTCTATTACAAGTAATTAGGCGCGCGTGTATACGCCCGAAAAGTAATCTGTTTTTACCAACGTAGAAAATAAACTGCGGTATTGATATATGTTGGTATGTAGGGGCGTTATAATAATCGAAATACTCGAGTGTACAGTTATTTACCAAGATTTATTCCACTCTTCGTTCCTTTTGCTCCGGCTTTGTAATCGAATAGATGTTAATTACCATAATATTAAGACGGAATAAGCCGGTAAAATGGAAATCGCCACGCCATTCCTACCCGGGTGGTGGCGTTTTCTAGTTTTAAAACGCCAACGGAGTGCAATTTGGGGAAATTTCGTAATAAACCACCCGCAACGAATAGGTAACCCGTCGCTCTTTTTTTCGTCGGTTACAATTTAACGCGTCGCCTTTCAAAAACACAATAACAACGAATATTCTATTAAATCCCGGGTGGAAATAAGAGTTTAGCTTCTCCTTACGACTCTTTCTCCCCCGGTTCCCACCGCGGGGGGTGGCCGCGGTCCGGCGGGAAATCCTCTTTATCCCGATAACTTACTACGAAAAAATTTACCGATGAAGTCGATCGAGCGACGGTCTCCTTTCGCGCCATCCATCTTATTATTATTCGGCCTCGGCCTCACCGAATTACCGTTTGTCGTCGCCAGGTACAAAGACGAGAAGAGGATAGAAGACGGGCGGGTGAAGATAGAGGACAAGCGTCTGACAGTGGAGAATGCCGACCAAGGAGACGGGGGGGAGTACAGCTGCGAGGTGGAGTCGGACGAAGATCGTCAGAAGGTGACGTACGTGGGAAAAGTCTTCCCCGTTTACTGTGAGTAGGGATTTCCCCTTACCCTTTCCACTCCGTCCCCGTATAATGGGAAATTCTTCGCAGCCGCTCCGGGAATCCGTCCTTTTCCTCCCACCCTGAGTTTCCTCAACGGATCCGACTTGGTGTTGGAGTGCCACGTGTTCGGAGGTTATCCGGAACCCAAGATCAGGTGGCTGGTGGGTGAGTGTATTCCGCCGTCGCGGACCTTCTTTACCTAGGCGCGTGCCGCGGAAATTTCCTTCGCGGATACTTGCGGAAAATAAATAAATAATTCTCTACCTAAAGTTCGCGGCCAGCGCCACTTTTCTCCCGTGTCTTCTTTTAATAAGTTACGTCCGATGGTAAATACGAGAGTCGCGTTTTAAATCAGTTGGCGCCCGCTTCGAAAATGGTAGAGCTCGGCTTTTCCCGCCATTTTTATTTATTTTTTTCGTCGGCAGGAAACGAAGCGGCGGAGAGGAGACCCGACTACGACGATCGTCTCCTGGTCATGCCCGGTGGGCCGGGCCCCAACGCCGTCTTGTACGTGGACCGGGTGGACTACTCGGACCGAAACCGATACACCTGCGTGGCCGAAAATGCGGTGGGACGAGCGGAGGCTTCCGTCTGGGTGACGGTCAGAGGTAAATCCGGTTTTTCCTCCGTCGGTCGGAGGCATTGGAACACTCGCCCCCTGCCGGGCTCCGTCGACGTCGGAGCTCGACTTTTATTTTCGATTTTTTTTACTTTCGTCGGATGGAAGCCAGCTAATTCCTATGGTGACCGACGGGTGGCGCCGGCGGCGGTGACGTCATCGAGGAGAAGGTTCGGGAATCGGGAGAAGAGGCGATGAGGAGAAGGGAAGAAGATGACTCTCGTCGCACGTCATCGGTTCGAATCGGTCGTCGTCCTCCTCCTTCTGGCCCTGGGCCTCGGCGGTGAGTCTTTCTTTTTTCTTCGGCCACCGCCGGTAGGGACCGGCGGGTTTCGGGGATGGGGATCCTTTCTCGGCGGTGGAGGCTGGGGCCGTTCCCGGCACGGTTTCTCTAAAGGGGGATTTCCGGTTCCGGCCGGAAGGGAAAGGGGAAGCGGGTGGGCCCGGGACCCTCGGCCTTTTTGCCGGCCGGAAAACTCGGTCTCCTTCCGACTCATGGCGCCGCTCCGGTTTCCGCCTCGTTCCCGGGTGCCGATCGAATCTCTTCCGCGCTTCTCCGCACGGCCGCCGCGCCGCGCGGCCGAGCCCGGGCATTTTCCCGGCGACGCGACGGGCCATTCCGCTGTCCCGGAAGTCGGCCCGGGTCCTTTCCGCCGTCGCCCCTTCCCCCATGGCTTCCGTAGTAAGTACGGAAACGGGTAATGCGAAAGGGCAAAGGGGGCACCGGCATCGATTAAAAATCCCTAATGGTTTAAAATCGTGCAGAGAAAAGGTGGGTGATCGATCGAGTCCGAGAGGCGGATTATTTAGGATAAGTTTAGACGACGATCGGTCGTATCGATCGAAGCAAAAGACGCGCGATTGTTTACCTGTTAGGAGTGTACACCGGGTATCGTAGGCCCGAGAGAAATGGAAATTAACGCCCGTTCCACTTTTACCCGAAAAGCGCGGAAAGGGAAAGGTGGGCGTGGAATTGGTCGAGGAAATTTTGGAAGGTCCGACAAAAGAAATGCGCCCGACGCAGTTCTGGCGGGGAATTTCGGGGGGTTTGGCGCTTCGGTCGGCAGAAAAACGGGCGAGTAAATGTTTGGGAAGTGGAAATAAAAGCGCAGGCGCAATGGCGCCGCGGGAAGAGGAAATTTACGAAATTCCGCGAATCGATAAAGGTGGAAATTCCGTTTTTATGACTTTACCGGGGAGACAGATATAGCCGAGTGTTCGTTAGTAATTAGAAGCCGCCCTATCGATTACCCGGCACAAAAACCGGGATAAAGCGGTTCGATTTATTTTACGCACTCGTAGAAGGCGGCAAAATCGTAAAAATCGATGGTCGAACGTTAACCGCGGGCAAAATTGGCCTTAACGTATTTCGCCAAAGCCGACCCGGTGTTTACGCGGCGGAATTTTTGCGGGGAGCGAGTCCGACGGCGGGAAAAGCCCGGAGTCTTTTGCCGGGAAGGCGAAATTTAAAAAGAAAGGAAATCGAACCGCTTTCCCCTTAAAAATCTGCCTTTTCCCTTTACCCGACGGACTTTAATCGGCGGGAAAATACAAACCGCGGCGCCCGGGGACCGCGATCGATAAGGGAGCCACCGGGAACCGGGTGTCGTCGGCGGCGGAAGTTTTCTCGGGTGGAAACGCAATTTACCCCGGTGTTAAAAATAGACTTTTCCCGGGTTGGTCGGAGGATTTAGCGCCGGCCGGTAAACGTCGAAGGTTAAAGCCGACTCCTTCCTTCGGCGCGGAACGATTTAAATTCCGGAATAAAATTCACTCTTACGTCTGTTCGAAACTATATTTTACGGTTTCCGCTCCGCCCCTTTTACCCTTCGAGGCCTACGTCGCTTCCGTTTCGTACGTCGTTTAAATTCGAATAGCGTGCCGCCACGTTTCGGATGTACTAGTTTAACGGCCGTAAAAAGCCGCGTATAAAACCGGAATGGCGGCCGTAGAGAACGCTTAAATTGCCCGCCGACGTAACTATAATTTGCAATATATTCTTTTTATTAATACGTTTACTTTCTTTCGAAATAACTAGGGCTAGAGTTTCGTCCCGCCGTAGAGCCCGCGGTAATCGATGGTACGAACCCCAGACGTCGCTCGCGCGTTTAAAATAGGCTAATGGTCGGATTAAAAAAGGAAATAATCTTTAGAAATAACCAGAAAACAATTAAACCCCCCCCGGCTCGGACGCGAAAAAACAATAAAACGCATTGCCAAACTTTAAAGGAAAAAAAAGACATCTCCAATGCGAAAAGACGACGTAACATTTTTTATAAAACGTATTTTAGAAAAGAAAAATATATAGCCTATATATGTACTGTACGTAACTCGGTATTGAGTGGGAAAATTAACGGGCGGTAACCTATTTAAAATTGTTATATTTCGATATTTATTGTTTAAAACGGAAAGAAAATATCGCTAAATATTCAGAGATTTCGAAGAAAGTTACGAAGGGAACGTCCGGAGGCGATGGGATTTTGATATATCTTGAAAATGTGCCGTCGACTTTTGTAAGATTAAACGACGGATTTCTATCTATATTTAGGTGGAATGGAATGCCCGTTTCGAACCAATCCGTGGTAATTGCGTTTATTTAAATGCCAGAAACGGAGAAGGTGGAAAGACGGTCGATAGCCCAAGATTTAAGAGTAACTTAGGTGCAAAAGTCGAATGCCGATTGATTTCCAGCCGTTTTTGGAGTGTGAAATCGTTGGAAAGAGTTTCCTAATTGTACATCTCTTCGCGCTTTTATTCTCCTTCTCTTTCGGAAAAGATTTCTTTGCCCGGGAGTCTCCGCGCTTTTCCATCCGCCGGCTTTTTGCGTTTTTATTCCAATTTTTCACATTCTTCGAATTCTTTGTAAATTAATTAAATTATTAGACGCAATTTTCCGTAATTTCTCCGTCTTACCCGACTTTTAATTATACGTTTTTCGGTCGACCGTTTTAAAACCGCTGCACCGCTCTTCCTTCCCATATATTTTTTATTACGCTGTCCCATTTTTATAACGGTTTAAAGTACGAGATTGATATTTTTAGCTTATCGGAAGCTATTTTTTTCCGGTATATTTTTTGTCTTTACTATTTTTTTCACCCGGTATAAATTATTTTTTAAACCAAAGTCAAGTATTTAGAATGAAATAGGAAATAATTATTGTAGATATAAATGTCAGAATTAATAACCGGGTTCCTACCGGCATTTACGCATTAGGGGAAGTAGGGTAATGCTAAAATAAATCATTCGAATGTATAAGAACGTCGGTCTTTGTTAATAAAATATGAGATTAAAGTTTACCATCCGCTTAGGTACAAATTATTCTTCAAAAACAACTGTAAAATATAAAACATTTTTTAAATATTAATTGGACCGCAGAACAAATTTTACGCCTTAACCCCGCCGTCGCCCGTCCTTCCGCTTTTCCTTAATCTCGACAACGGAGTTAGATAGACGAAAGTCGAGACGAGATACGGAAGTCGTAGTGACGGGAAGCCCCCTTATTTCGGATTAAAAATTTTACCCCAAAGGTGTTAGATAGACGACGGGGCACGACTCTATCGTTAAAGGAAAAGTACGACGTACGAGGGCAAACCGCTACTAATTTGAGACGGAGAGCGCGTATTTTAAGTTAAATAAAGTAAAAATTGCAGCCGCGTCGCAATAAATAATTGCCGGTTATAGTTTAGCTTTTATAAAATTATAACTTATTCTTCCGAGCCTTTTCAAAAAATATTGGTGCGTGCCAGACAACCTTTTTCTGGCCACTGCCCGTCCCGTATCGGATCCAAATTAGAGTTGGCTACCGCTCTAATTTGGATCTATCTATAATGGAAAAACTCCGCGTAGGTAATGTGCCAATAAATCTAGTCTAATTCGCTTACGTTATATATTGACACTCCCGATGTTTTACGCAGTCGGTTCCTCGGCTAGAAAACCGCGTATCAATCGTTACGAAATAACATAATTTTTTCATTTACGCACTCTACTTAAAAGTTTGCTACGTAAATAGCCTAAATTAAATTACGCGAACTTAATACGATGAATTTTCCGAATTTGCTCGATATAAATTTACTTTTTATTTATTCTTACGTTATAGAAGCGGCGTGTACTTTAAAAAAGTGCGCGAATCGAATACGGAATAAATTTAAATTTTGCGTTAAAAGATTTCGTAAAACATAAATTGTATTTTTATCGTGGATACACGTTCGAGTTTATCTTTGGTTACGAAAACGGTTAAGAACGAATTTGCGGCGAAGAATGTAGCCTAAAGTTGGAAAGTTGAGGTACTCCCCTTTTCGTTATTTGCATGCGAGACCGTTTCGATGTATTGTAGGATGGTTAATTATGTTCGGAGGGGTATTAGTTCCCTTTTTATACTGCCCAACACTTTTTGATACTTTTCCAATTTTTGCACTTAAATTGGGTATCTTATTAAATTAAGTTGTTATTTTTTTTTTAATATTTTGATGTACTGCATTGACCCGAATATTAGCCAATGTTTTTCCAAGTTTTTTTAAAATCTCGAATTATTAAAATTTGTAGGATTTTTAGGTCTTAGAAACAGAATAATACGGTAATATTTAAATAAAGCTTTTCGAGTACTGTAATTTGTCGTTGTAGTCGTCGATATGGAATTTTATCACTTAGTAATGAATATTTTGAAAATATCAATTATTGCGTAGTGTCGTAATGTATCGATTACAGATTCGTGAAATCAAACGTCGCTAAAATAATAAGGATTTCGTCGTCGGTGAAGACCGGGAAGGGATGCGGCCACCCATGGCTTTCAAAAATGTCAAAGATACGGACGTCGAAACTGAAGGAGTTAGTAAATAATTTTAAAGATAAAGGAATTATGGCCGATGATAGTTCTTTAAGATGACGAACCTTGCGTTGTTAACAAATTTGGATGAAAATAATCTCTCTTTATGGGTTAAGTGGCGTATTAATTAAATATGCAAATATATTTCTGATGGAAAGAAAGAAGAACAAAAGAAGAGAGTTTTATTTTGTTGTCATTAAATTCTGCAAAACACAATGCAGAGAAGAAGAGTGGATTTTCGTGTGAACTTCCTACAGCTTTAATTACAGTCCAGGATTGCTTTTAATAAGGTAAATCGTTCAACATTTGAAAACCTTCTAGAAAAGTATACCAAACACGCGTTCCCTGACCAAGCGTGCTAAGGAAAAGCTGTATGCGGCCCGCTTATGAAGTAACTTTACAAAAATACTGGAAACGGTACGAAACGATCCAGATTTTTGGATGAAACGACAGATGTGCTAAAAAGGTGTGCGTTAAACGTTTCTTGTCGGTCCGACGATAGGAGAGCCAGTACTATTCGTACTGTTAAGTGTTTACGAATTGGTAAAAACAACTTCTGCTGGCTTTTAATGACGCGGGTGTCAAATTG